CCTAATTTTAGTCAGGCGCTACTTTATATATCTAAAGTAGCTACTTTAGATAAATCGCTACTTTAGATGCAACAATGACACATTAAGGATTGTCAACTTAAAATTAATATTACAGTTATATAAATCTTAATTTTAAATATAAATTGTTTTAAAAAAGTAGATCAAAAGTGAATTTATAATAAAATTCCACCCAGAATATCCTATAGATTAAGGAATACCTTAAATTTTTTGATAAAAACTTTTATATATAGTTAAAAGCCAGTTACTATAGCAATTTTATCGTTATAATTATTTTATATAATACTAGTCTCGGGTTACGTCCTTACGTCCGTGGTACAGCAATTATAGAGGACTAACGTTTAAAATTTACACGAATTTCGACCAATCAAATTCGAAAAAGCGGACAAACAGACATTAAAATTTTAATAGTATAGATTACAGGTGTTATTATTTCAGTCCAATCTACAAACTTTGTGTAAGCTCCGGATATTTACTTCCGATTGCAATTACAACTTCTTCTACATGATGACAAACATTTTGGATTGCCATATCCCATTTTGCACCAAGCATACCACTAACTGCCTTTCCAGCTGAATTACTTTCAAAGAATATTAATCTTTCAATTTGATCGATTGTTCCTTGCATTCGTCCCTGTTCAATCATTGAACTTGCAATTTGTTCAGCCTGATCAGGAGTAATGGCAAGTAAGGATCCAAGTTCTTCAAATGTAATGTTGTTATAAATCATGGAAGCTGATAAAAGGTTGTGTTCAATTACGGCGCGATCGAGAACGGTTGTGCCATCAGCGAGTCGTGCACGTTGATGTTCTTTAAGGGTCTCTGCAAACCCTTTAACTTCGTTTGGTCGCAAAACACGATCAAGATACATTTTTTCAAGAATAGAAAAATGCGGTAGACGTTGTACTCGTTCATCCTTATATAGTGTGGCCAACATTCGTGAACGCTGAGGACCAGCGCCGGCAAGGACTGCACAAGTAATAGCAGCATTACTAACATCATTATATCGAGTAGATGTAAGCAAATATTTTAAAAGAGTTGCCTAATATGATAAACCTAATAATAACTCACAGACAGTTTGTTCGATCTTCTTGTGCTAACTCAGGTACATAACTTAACTCATGATATTTTGAACTAGCTTCAAGAAACTTTCTTTTGAAATCAAAGATCTTAGCTTGTGATAATTTGAATGTTAAGTTAATGACTTGATCCTTACAACCAGGAATTAATAACGCGGCGCGACTTAAATACGTTTCTGTTGTTACTGCTTCATCTTCTTCCAAAAGAAGTTGAATAATTTTAATATAAATCTTGAGCTTATATTCATCCGAGATAGCTCTTTATTTTACAAAATACAAACATATATATATATATATTATTAACATAACTGAATGAATTAATTAAGATTGATAATAAATAATATTTATTACATACCGGTGTCCCGAATCCAATGGAATTCCTTGCAACACTCTAGCAGCTTCGAGCCATTCTTCTTCAGCCTCAAGGATTTCGGCCAATTTTTCGCGGATCGTTGAAATCTATATAGTTAAGGCAATTAATGAAGATAATTTATTAGATTATTAAATCAGAATTTTTAAAAAATTAATAAATATATATATATATATATATATATCAGACCTGTTCTTCAAAACTGACAATCCTTGGTTGGACCTTATTCAATGCAAAGTTTAAAACACGTTTTTTGATGGTAGAATTTTCAATTTTATCTATGCCCTGTACGAACTCGGTAAGAATTTGTCGAGTAATGACCAGGCCGACTTGTTCTTGTACTATATGGTCAACAAATTTTTCCAGATCAGTTGCTAAAATTGTATCGTCTTTTGTAGCGAGAATTGATTCTAATAGAGAACGGTATTCAGCAGTTTTATCCTTTTGTGAAGGAATGGCAGCAATTGCGGCAAGTCGTGTTTCGCTATCCGACATATTTATTATAGGATTAAAGATTGCGGAAAAAACGTCATATAACTTTATATATTGACACCTGTGTCACGTGATTGTGGTAGTTTATTACATTTTGATTTTATATCGATATGGTTATCATAAAAATTCGAGAAATATATAGCTATGTATGCATATACGATATGTTATTTCAAAGTTCTATACCAGATATATACTATATATATATATATATATATAGTTATAACTTTTAGTGATCAAGAATCGACTTCAGTTAGTCGATATAATAATCAACCTGAATTCGACTAGTCGATCTCAATATGACAGAACTCAATGTGCCAAATATGTTCTATATATTCATATATCGTTGATATTATGAGTGTAATAATAAATGATAGGTAAAAAGCAAAGTCGAGAGGTTTTTTTTTTATTAAAATTTAATTATCTTTAAAATGCTTTGCGAATACAAAAATTGATTGCTATTATTTTTTTTTAAAAAAAATAATTATTTTTAAATACGTACAGTACAAAAAAATATTTAAAATTTATTTGGAATTTTTCAATTACAGTTTTTAAATAATATATACTTCAAAATAAAAACAGTTTGAATATAATAAAATTATAAATAGATTAATATTTAACAAATTAAAGTATTTATACGTAGCGGTAGGGTTAGATTTGTTAAATCAAAATTTTTAATAAAATTTATTAAATTAATTGTTTATAAACTTAAAATTTCTTTAATCTTGATGGTTTTTTTTTTATCGGCAATAGTTATTAGACGAAATACGGACTGAATAATTCGATTTAGCAATCTGGAGTATCTAATGCAAAATCTTTATTGTCGTCAAAAGGTATGGCATCTATAGTTGAATATCTGCAGCTACGTACGTATACTCTTGACTAGGGTTCTGCATGGACTGGACCAGCATAGGCTGATTTTTGGGTTGAATCTGGTCTCAAAGCTGATTGGCCAAAATTATAAAATATCGTCATCGTAATCATCAAAATTACGAATCTGAGTTTACGTAGAGCGGGCATATCACCGCATAATGCTTAATTGATACATAATTAATATTATGAAAATCACATCAGATGTCAACATTTACATAAGTTATAATATGTGACGACGACTAAGCACCATGAAGCATCTCTAATTTGGATACGTACTATGCGGGCGTGAATCTATCCAACCAAATATGGGCCGGATTTAGTTATGAAAATTTGGTACGTACGTACATACGTACGTACGTACGAACAGTACGTAAATATCCAGCCCATGCGGAACCCTACTCTTGATCCGTTAGGATCACTGGAGTGACATAAAACATATCTATAAATACCAATAGAAACATTATATAAAATTTATTATACAGTATATATCAATGAAGATTAATTTTAAATAAGCAATAAAAAATTTTCTAATTCTTTACTCCAAAAATTACAAATTAATTTGAACAATGGATGATGAAAGAGATATCGAATGAATTTTTTATTAAGGGGGGTTTTTTTTTTTTTTTTTGCTTTTCTAAAAATTATTAGAATTTTTAATCGAATTTTGAAGAAAACTTTGTCAAAAAGTTTGTGATTAAAAATTTAACTTTTGAATGTGAAAAGCTTTCACTTTTATAATTGTTTTCCTTATTATGTATGTATCAGAATAAATATTATAACTATTATAACTATAAGCTATCGTTTTTACTCCATATATCCTCCTATCTTGTCGCTAAATCACTTGAATTTTTTTTTTTTTAATTTATAGAATTGATTTGAATTTGAATTTTGAATTTTTTGAATTTGACATTAATGACCAAAAATGGGTTATATAATCGGGGTTTTGGACATTATCTCAAGGAAGTATAAAATCCAATTTCCAGACCCAAACTATGTAATAATGTCACAATTCAAGAAGAAAAAAAAAGTTCTGATCATAACCTTAATTATACATTAAAGTTGTTAAATAATAAGACAGCAGCTTAAACATTAAATTCAGATTGTTTTTTCCTACTACTTTTTGCTCTTTGTACTTCAGATCGCTTAATATTGTTAAAATCATCATTTGAACTTTTTTCGATTGTCGATTTCGAATTATGCATGTTTCTAAATGAAGTCTTGTTCCCAAAATTAGTTGAAGTAATACTATTATCATCGTTCACAATATGTGAAGGAGAATCTTGATTAGGATCGTCATGAACTTCATGAAGATAAGTTGACCTTTTCGAGTTTAAATTTGCGATAGCATTTCTTCTAACTATTACAAAACAAACGAGTAATAGAATAAAGACTAGAGCACACCCAAAGACAACTACACCGACTTTCGACCAAGAACCAAATGGGCCAAGAGACACCTTATCATTATTATTAGTAGAATCAGCTAAAGCAGCAAGATCCGGACAGACATCTTGCTGATTACATTGGTCACCATATATGTATACAGTTGCTGATAGAGTATTATTTTCAGGAAATTGTGATATTAACATAGTCATTTCAACATAAAAAGTCAATTTGTCCTTTGAATCACATTTATATGCAAAATTACTATCGTCTTTTCTTAAACATGATACATATGAATAAGGAGATGATAGATTATCTTGTACTATGTATCCCGTTGGAAACGAAATCATAACAACGTACTCGTTGTTATGCTTACGAGAGTCCACATGAGAAGCGCTTACATTAACTCGATATAAATGTGGCGATTGTGTGGCGTTGTATCCCAACGAAAAGCAACATTTTGTACTTTCTATTGGAAAAAAAAAAAAATAAAAAAAAAATAAAAAAAATAACATTAAATTTCTTTACTTCAGTAATTTCTGTAATAGATTAAAGCTAATCATTGCAATATCCGGAATAATGAAAAAAATTTATCTACGTATCAATGCAGGTATAAATGACTTTCCTTACATATGTGCACGTACATGTTAATCGTGCATATGTACCAACAAACATTATAATTGAGGAACATTAAGGATGTACTTACGTGCATCAACAGCATTCATTCTGGTCATTAAAATGATAAGCAAAGCCGTTAATAACAGCCATCTCGTCCTTGCTATAATTATATATGAAGAATTCATGTAATTAAATAAAGTTTATAAAAATTTTGTTGAGTAGACTCTTTTAAAAGGTTTAAAAGGAGTCAAAAAAAAAAAAAAACCAAGAAAATTTCACGTAAAAAAGTCAGTTGGTTGAAGTGAGAATAGTGAGAATAAAATAAATTATTTAAAAGCAAGGTTTATGAATGGTGAGAGTGAATAAGGCTTTCATAATTAGGACGTTTATTGACTGTTATAAATTTCAAACTATAAAATAATAGAGTCCATTCCTTGGCTTGAACTAAAGTTATATTCTAAAAAAAGTAAAAAGCAAAAAATGAACACGAAAAGCTTTGCTTAGAAAAGGGTTGAATAAAAAAAATAATCAAAGATCCTTTATATTGATAATAAAAAAGAAAAGAAGAATTACCTTTCAAAAATTAAGATATTAAGATCATTGGTAAGAATTACCTGTTAGAAAGAATTGATACAAGTTTTACATGACTGTAATTTTTTTATACTGATTTGAATTTCAAAAATGCAGATCATATACATATTTTTTTAAAAACGAAATTTGAAAAGAGGTTTATCATGTGGTGGTAGGTTTGTATGTTACTCATATACGTGACATCACGGGGCTCAAACACTTTTAACCTTTTAATAATTTACACAAATATGGAATTTCTTTTTTTGATGCAATAACATTTTTTTATCAATTTGAAAAGCTATTCATAGTACTTATCTCATTTAATTATTATATATATATATATAATAAAGAATATACCTGATGCGTATCACAATGGTCGAAGTTTAAATTGTATTAAAAATTATATATTAAATTTTAATTTACTATTTTTAAAAATTATTGCAGATCAAAATAGTAATAAATCATACCGATGCTAATGATATAACATCGGATCAGTATGGCACAGATCTTAATATCGGGTATTTACTGTGTATTTACTGTGTATTTACTGTGTATTTACTGTGTATTTTATACCACCATATCATACAGATCCCCATACTAAT